ATTGTGAAACAGCTGAAGCAGAACGGCATCTACATCAAGACACCAAAGTGCGTCAAATATTTGGGCTTCGATGCAGCACTTGGACGCCAGCGGGTCACATCAGCCCGTGCCACCAGATCGAAACAAGCTAGACTACGAGCGAAGCGTGCCAAGATCTTCAGCGAACAACTCCAATTTTCGAGCAACGCAGAACTACGATTGGCCAGTATATGGGCTCAGCCTGGCTGCTGTTCGTGATGCGCGAGCTCAAGCTGCAGACACGGTTGGCTTCGCCATTGGAGGCAGGTGCACATCGACGATACATGTTATCTTCTATGGCGAGAACGAACCTGCCACAGCCTGCCTACAGCGCCAAGTACGAGAATGGATACAGGCGCCGCAAAATGATGGAACAACACACGATCGATTACGGCAAGGATGGAATGTGATCCTGCGCAGACTTGGAGGCATGCGTCCACGCGGGCGGTGGAATTCAGTTACTGGACCCATGGGCGCGTTGATTCTATCCTTGCAGCAACTAGGATGGAAACCACAACGACCAGATGGATGGGAAGACCCGCGCGGCATCACATGGAAGTTCGGGAATGACGACGTCCTCGATTTCAAGGACATGATGCGCACCATAACCAGGGGCATGGAGGCGCAGGTCTGGTTTGAAGCAGCGGGCCACTACTACGGCAAAGGTATGCAGCAAGGTATGGGCACGACCATGCTCAAGAAGACCTTACAGGAGTTATGCAAAGCAGATCGAGTTCAAGAAGCAGGCGCGTTAGAAGCCCTAGCGTGCGGGGCCATATGGACTGGGCAACGCTGCAAAGATGCGGGACATCATGCCGACGGGGTGTGCCCAAGATGTTCCAAAGCGGCGGGCACGATCAAGCACAGGGTCTATGAGTGTGAGATTCATCTTTGACCGTCTTGAAGCTGTCTTCTCCGCTGCTCGTGCAAACGTCCCACCCTCCCACCCGCAACTTGGTCGCATGGCCTCTTAAGACAAGACCGTGGCGGTGCGTGCCGCATGACACTTGGTCACGACACCGACGCCGACGACGGCGACAACGACGACGACGGCGCCGCCGACACCGACTACGACGACACCGACGACGTCTCCAACGACTTCGACGACGACAACAACGACACCGACGACGACGACGACGTCAACGACGCCGACGACGACGACGACGACGGCGACCGCGACGACGCCGACGACGTCTCCGACGACTTCGACGACGACAACGGCGCCGACGCCGACGACGACGAAAACGACGACGACGTCGCCAACGAAGACGACGACGAGGGAGCAGGGAAGACGACGACGACAGCGGCGACGACGACGACGGCGACGGAATAGGAGGGGCGACGACGAGACGCCGACGACGGATGACGACGACGACGAGGGAGGAGGAGGGAGGACGACCACGGCAACAACGCTGACGGAAACGACCGCGACGCCGAGGAGGACGACGACGACGAACACGAGGAAAGACAGAGGACGACGTAGGCGACGACGACGCCGACGCGGGAGGAGGGAGGACGGAGACGACGACGGCGACGACGCAAGAGCGCGCGCGCACGCTTTTGTTGAAAATCCGTGTTGCGAAACTTTGTGTTTTTGTAAGTTGTTTGGACGCGCGTTTTTGAAATCTTTGCGAAACCGATGGGCTTTGAAGGTTTTCGGCATGCGCGCGCGACGACGCGCGCGTCTGCATTTCGTCCCGTTTTTTGCAGAGGATTCTCGCGACGGCGCGCGCGCGAGGGCGTTCGACAGATTTCGACATGCGCGCGCGCGAAGCCCGTTTAATCGCTTTTTGGGAAAATCTGGACAAACCCAGGGTTTTCTTAAGATTTCGCAAGGGCTCGCGCGGGAACTTTTTTAGCAAATCAGTGTTGCGAAACCCATTTTTTTTTTTGTTTATATATATATATATATATAAACTCGATTGCGAAATCCTTCCGGCACCGAAGGTTTTTGAAGGATTTCGGCATGCGCGCGCGACGACGCGCGCGTGTGCATTTCGTCCCAGTTTTTCGCAAATGGATTTGCGAACAAATGTTATGTTAGAGCAAAAAGTCACCGCGTAGTGTTTTTTACAAGGGGCCCTCAGGGGGGGTGGGATACCGGTCCCCCTGGGATAGGGTAAATTCATATTTAGGATTGACATGTGGTCAGAATCATATATGATGTACAGACCCGAAAGGGGTAGTGATATCGCTGGGGGGGGGGGTAGATCCTATTCTGTTTTTAGAGAGGAGAATGAGCGAGAACCTGAGCATAGAGGCCGTCGTCAAGTCACAGTCCCTCTGCAGGAAAGCATTGGAGGAGATGTGCGAAGACCCTGATACGGAAGCCTTCTGGCCACGTGGACTTCTTCCTCCGCGTCGAAACCCAGTGCCGTCGCCGCCGGCGTGGGGGGATTGGGATGGAAGCTACTGGGCCGCGGCCACCGAAGGACCCAAGGTATATGCTCAGGAGCTGGTCGCCCTTAATCCAGTGCGGGGCTCAATATCATTTGTGGACGGATCGGGCACCAGCAACGACAAGCGCATCAACAGAGTTGGTTGGGGACGTACTTCAACGACGAGATGGGCGCGATACTATCTTAGCGTATGGGCAGCTACCTGGGCGGTGTTTACTGACAACAACGCAGTTCGGAACCGCGACAGTTTGAAGTTATGGTGCGAACCGTGCATGGAGCAGTTCCTGCGCCAACCAGAGCAAACACGTCTCTTGCAATTTCTCACGGCACGCTACAAGACCAGGAGCAACAGCCGTATTGCAAAATACTTATGTGACATGCATGGGCGAACCTCTAAGAGTACTACCTCACCCTCCATGGATGGGAAAAAAGACGCGTATGACCAGCATTGGTTCGACGGCGCCTTCGAAATCAAAGAGAAGTTTCGACAGCTCCTACGAGACCAGGCCCCCGCCCTCGAGCAGAAGTTCCCTGATTATTTTGACGACAGCGACGACGTGAATGAGGACACGGCGCCGCATTACCTAGCACATGCCCTCATCACCAACGATAGACCTGACATCAGCAACGGCACCATCGCAGACACGAGTCGTATCGGCTTCTACGGCACCGCTGATGGAGAACAACGTGTATCTGCTGCTGAGCATGCTGGACTTTTCTAGGCGTTGGCGCTGACCAAAGGGCCGATTACGGTATACACAGATTGCCAACAAGTGGTGGATGGATGGACTCAGCGCTTCTATCAACAACCACACGGGGCCCTACGAGAACGGTGGGAAAGGATCCGAAACTTGCTCAATAAGAGACCTGGAGGAGCTGAGGCCGCACAAGTGGTCAAATGCCTATCTCACCTGGATCATGAATCTCTCTCAAGCAGTCCAAACAAGCCTTCCACATTAGTCTGGGCAATGCGATGGCAGATGCCTTGACCCAGCGTGGAGCAGAAGTGTCCATGAAATATATACGCGATGAGGTTGAGCAGCTCATGGAGGTGGAGACCCTACTGATGCGTGCCCAGCGACGCGGAGCAGCCATCACCCACGAGATCTGTAAGGACGCCGACCCGACCAAGTTGGACAGACCAAGACAGATACCGCGTAAGACAGCCCGAGTGTGACGAGAGCAACGTCGTCAACTAGAAGAATTGTCTGGCCACGGCATGAAGCAAATGAAAGGGCAATGGGTATGCCAAGATTGTTGGTGCTCGCCTGGTAAGTACAGCTTGGTAGACTGGATGCAGGCGAATGTTTGCATTGGAAGGCAGTATGAGACCCATCGAGCGGACCGCGGACATGCAGTACATGTACCCAACAATGAGATGATCGAGATCAAGGATAAGGTGATCCACCCGAGCCACTCGATATCAGTTGCTCATGGGCAGTCCTGGTGTTGGAATTGTGCAGCGGTGGCCTCGCACAGTGACGACGGACGTGGACGAGTATCCCTACTGGCGAAAAATTGCAGGGAGCAGATCACGATGAGTGGCCAGACTGTTGTTCTACGCCGACTACGCCAAGGGATACCTCCCAAAGCGGGCCAGAACTGGCCAGACGGCACGGTGCCGCCGAACGGTGGCAAAATTCCACGAGTTGCTGCTGGGCGACGCCAACGTGGATGACTACACGGCTCGGGGCTACGGCCCCGCAGATTTATTCAGCCCTGGAGTGGCAGTGAGGTGGAGACCCGCCCTGACTCTGGGCTGGCTCGCGACCTCAGCTCGGGGCCGCGGCCCCGCGGAGTTCTTCTGCCTTGGAAGTGGCAGGGAGGTGGAGGCCCGCCCTGGTTCTGGGGCTGGCTCGCGACCTCATGAGTGCATGCGCGGCCAGCGCGGGCGCAGGGGCCGCGGCTGCGGAGTCGACCGCGGTGCCCTCTGCTCTCGAGTCCTCCTCCTCCTCCTCCTCCTCCTCCTCCTCCTCCTCCTCTTACCTCCTTCTCCTCTTACCCCTCCTTCTTCTCGTCCTCCTCCTCTTCGTTTTCCTCCCCCCTCCTCCGTCTCCTCCTCCTCCTCCTCCTCCTCTTCCTCCTCCTCCTCCTCCTCCTCCTCCTCCTCTTTCTCGGGGAGACAGGCCCCGTAGGGCGAGGGCGTCCCAGGCTCCGCCCCGCGCCGCCCTCTGGGCAGGATCCTTTTCGAACCCACTCGATATCAGTTACGGCCGGCGCGATCTGGTTCGACTCCGGTGTTCGCGCGGTCCGATGCGGCCCGATGCCTGCATGGCGTCGTTGTGCATCCTGGCGCAGCCGTTTCGGTGCGATTTCGACTTCGTTACCGATGCAGCCCGATCCGGCGCACGTTTCGATTCGAGCAGACGTCCACGGTTCGATGCTGACCTGATCTTGCCTCATGGCTGGTCAGGGGCGGCCAGGAGGGGGGTGGTGACCATGAGATCCCACCAGATTATCATGGCCCCCTCTTCTTCTCTCAGCACGTCCCCTGGCCCCTCCCTTGGGCCGCGTACGTGTCTCGGGCCATGATTTGCGACCCGCCCTCTTGGACGCCCGCCTTTCTGACGCCCCCGACCTCAGGGTTGCAACCTGAAGGGCAAGGTCGTCACCGCGGATGATCCAGACTCGGACAACCCCAAGAAGGGCGACTACAAGACCTACTACAGGGCACGCTTCCAGCCCCGATCGGGGGGGCGCACTTGCATGCGCACTCGAGCGATCGGTTTCCTTCCCGATGGGATTGAGCTGCGATGTTGAGCACTTGGCTCCTTGGAGGAGTTGGTGGACGATGATGAGGAAACAGTAGGTGTAGTAGCAGTGTGAGTAGGTTCTCGAGGAGTGAGACAGCCACCTGAGACATTCGTGAAAACCTTGACGCAGGTCCCCAGAAAGTTTGGGGCAGCCACGTCAAATCCCAAATCTACCCTTCTGACGAGGAGGAGGAGGAGGAGAAGGCGGAGGTGGAGGAAGAGGAGGAGGGGGAGGAGGAGGAGGAGGAGGAGGAGGAGGAGGAGGAGGAGGAGGAGGAGGGGAGGAAGGGGATGATGAGGAGGAGGAGTGGAGGAGGAATAGGAGGAGGGACGCGGATGATGATGATGCGGAGGTGGAGGAGGAGAGGAGGAGGAGGAGGAGGAGGAGGAGGAGGAGGAGCAGGATGAGGAGGAGCTGGAGGAGTGGGAGGAGGAGTTTCAGGAGGAGGAGGAGGAGGAGGAGGAGGAGGAGGGTCAGAGGGAGGAGGAGGAGGAGGAGGAGGAGGAGAAAGAAGAGGATGAGGACCAGTGTAAACCGAAGACTCTTCAACGATGTTGAAAGGGACCCACCCCCGAGATCCCTCTTCATATGTCCCTACGTGGGGTCTTGTCCACTGAGGGAAGTGCCCCCTTGGGGGGTGACCGTATGAACGTCTTGAAGCGTGTCAAAACAAAATGTCCAGGACTTCGACGCCACGATTTCACCTGACTGTTACGACTCGGCGATCCCGAAGCGCTCGTTCTTGGGACATCAGCACCGTGCATCAATGTAACTGTTGCGCACTAACGACCTAGAATCGTTCCAACACGCCATTTCTGGTACGTTATCAATGAGAGCCAGTGACATTCTTGCAGCTGTTGAGAAATAATGTGCGCGGCGCTAAGGTGAGAACCACTTTTTGAAAAGGAGCCGCCCTCAATCCGTGAATCTCTTGCAAAGGTTGAAAAGAATACGCGTGGCGCTGAAGCGTTAGCCGCATTTTGAAAACGGCCCGCCCTCAATCCGCGAAGCTCTTGCACTTTGTTTGAAACAAATGTGCGCGGCGAGTGTGCGCGGCTCTACGTCGATAGCCACATCTTGAAAACGACCCGCGCTCAACCAGTGAAACTCTTGCAACTTAAAAACGACTGTGCGCGGCGCTAAAGCGAGAGCCACAGTTTGAAAACGACCCGCCCTCCATGTGTGAAGCCTTTTCCATTTTTTGCATCAGGTTCAGACGTGGCGATGACGTCTCAGGCGAAACACCTGGCCCGCGCTTTCGGCCAGCCTCGGGGTGCGCAGGGCGGAGTTATCCAGAATGTAAAGGAATGGAGGAGGGGGAGGAGGGGGGGTCAGGGAAGGAGGGAGAGGAGGGGGGGAGGAGGAGGAGGAGAGGAGGAGGAGGAGGAGGAGGTGGAGGAGGAGGAGGAGGAGGAGGAAGGAGGCGGAGGAGGAGGTGGAGGAGGAGGAGGAGGAGGAGGAGGAGGAGGCGTGGGAGGAGGAGGAGGAAGGAGGAGGTGGTGGTGGAGGAGGATGAGGAGGAGGAGGAGGAGGAGGAGGAGGAGGAGGAGGAGAAGGAGGAGGAGAGGAGGAGGAGAAGGAGGAGGAGAAGGAGGAGGCGGAGAAGGAGGCGGAGGCGGAGGCAGAGGCGGAGGCGGAGGCGGAGGAGGAGGAGGAGGAGGAGGAGGAGGAGGAGGAGGAGGAAAGGGAGAAAGTGATGACGACGAGGAGGACACAGCTTCTTGGGGCCCGCTTGGGGCCTTTTCGGGGCCTCTTGGGGGCCTCTTGGGGGCTTCTTGGGGGCCTCCTGGGGAGTTGATTGGCCCGTCTGACGCCTTCGGAGGCCGCCTTGGGGCCCTCTTGGGAGCCTCTTGGGCGATCTTGGGATCTTCTTGGGCCGATTCGGGGCCCTTTTGTGGGCCTCATGGGTTGTCTTGGAGCTAGCTTGGAAGCCTCTTGGGCCGTCTAGGGAGTTCGGACACCTAAATAGGCGAGCACCTCAAATCTGTCAACAACCTAACAATAATCATGGTTTTGGCCTCCTCGGGCTCTCTTGGCTTGGTGGGCCTCTTGTAGTCCTCTTCGGCCGTCTTGGGAGCCTTTCGAGCCGTCTTGAGGCCGTCTCGGGAGCCTCGTGAGCCATCTTGGGCCATCTTGGGCCGTCTTGGTGTCATCTTCACTGCCTTGGAAGCCGTCTTTGAGGCCATCTTGGCCGTTTGGAGGCCCAAGAGAGCGCCCGACAGCAATTTCACAGGGGGCGGTCTCAGAACCACGTGTGCGGCGAGGGGTGGGGGCGGGCGGCCCTAGAAAACATTCAAAACCCCTCCCAGACAACAGACGAGCATTCTAACACGCCCACTTCGTGCAGGCACGGTGGCGGATAGCACCATTCAGTGGAACAAAAGGGGATCGGCCGTTACCTTTGGAAAGAAAAAGAGGAAGGAGGATGAAAAGGAGGAGGAGGAAGATGAGGAGGAGGAGGAAGAGGAAGGGATGGAGGGAGGGAGGGGATGATGTGAGGAGGAGAAGGAGACGACGACCAGGTGGCAGCAGGAGGAGGAGGAGGAGGAGGAGGAGGAGGAGGAGGAGGAGGAGGAGGTCAGCAGCTTTGACTCGTTTGCGTGGCTCGTGGTCCACTCCTGGGTTCCTTGTGCAGATCGGGCGCCAGTTTCCGATTCGGCTACCAGCTCATCCCCTGGTCCAGGGTCCCCTCTTGGCTCTCTCGTACGGTTCAGGCGTTCGATGTTCGATTTGCCGGGCCGCTTCAGCCCTCTGCAAGGCGGGGGTGATGCCGCTTCCCTGCTGCTTGCTCGGCCTGGAGATCCCCAGAGGTTTGACGACTTTTCTCCAATTGACTTGTGGGGGTAGAACCAGAGAAAGTGAGGCACGTCTAACAGATGATCTAGGTCAACCGAAGTAGATCGAGGTAAACCCAAAGATCTCGAAGTCAACCGAAGTCCCGAGTCTATCGAATGATCAAGGTGAACCGAAGTAGACCGAGGTAAACCCAACGATCCCCGAGGAAATCTGGAGCACATCGCGGACGCCTCAGCGCGAGTCAGGGGACAGCAGTCGTCGTCGAGCCCTTGACGAGGAGATGCCAGCAGAGTGAGTGCGTGCCCTGGTTCGGCCACACGTACACGCCGGTCGTTGAAAGTAGGTATTTTTGGATTCCCAGTTCTCAATCTTCTTCAAGCGCCTTCCTACTTCAAGAATCGACATGCTTTTGCTGTGTTTTGTTGTTCTCTGGGAGGACCTGGACCCAATCCACTACATCCGCCTTCCTACTTCATGTTTCTACCTACTTCTTCCGACCGACGTGTAAGAGTGATCCTTCGCTGGAGTTACCGTTGTTGCGGGCACGTTGGGGTCCTCAGATGGCTGATTGCGAACCGATCGCAGCGGGTTGCGCGCTCGGCTTTGGTCCCCAGCGCGCCCCTAAAGCCGCGCACCAAAGGTGGCTCTTGCCTAGGGTCACTCCTGCGTGCAGTTCCTCGTCTCAGCTCCCGGCACTCGCAGCCAGTGCCACCGCCGCCTGCAGCTGCCGCCCTCGCTGCAGCTGGCACGCCGTTCGCTTCGTGGGCTTCGGCGGAGGTCCTAAACACGCCGCTCGATGACGCCGGCGAGAAGAAGGCATCGACCGAAGACGCCGACGAGGAAGAGCCGCCTGCTGCCGGCACGGACGTGGCGTCCAGCGCGGGCGGGTGCCCTGGGCGGGGCACTGGGCTTGTTTTTGATGGGTCTCCACTGTGCAGCTGGAAGCTGACCTGGGTCTTTGTGGTCAAGCAGGGGTAGCAGGTAGGGCACGACTTGGTCTTAGGGTCGGGCCGACGTGGCGTGTACGTACGGCGTAGTTTTGCGGCGAGCGGATCATCAGCCGATCGCTTCAAGACCAGCGCTTGATCAATAACAGTGTGGTTGAGAACTCAGCAATGCGTCGCACCCTGCTTAAGGTCATCGGTTTCGTGTTGAGCGTGTATGTGTCATCGTGATAATACCTGGGGTGCAGTCGTGCTGTCCCTGCCGACGTTGCGATGAAGTCGAGATGTACGGAACCCTAGGTGGTCATGGAGCCCAGGGGACCAGAGGCGGGCTCGAGGCAGAATACTGTCCAACTTTGCACTGAACTTTGGTATCGATGTCTGTTGCTCCTGGAGCAAACTGTGAAGTTCTACACCTGAATTCTTTGGATCGGTCGAATCCCAGAGGGAGGAGCAGGATGTATTCCCTTCAGTCCTTCTCCTCCTCTTTCTTTCCTGAATGAATGCAGTGGGGAAGAACCACAGGCATAGGTGGGGGTTCTTTTCTTCTCGTGCGGGTCGTGGGGCCCCTGATCGCAGTCGCTCGGATCGGTTCGGCATGCTGGCCTGATCGGCCAGGCTGGTCGAGAGATCGGCGCGCGGCACTGTGATCTGACAGCGCGATGGGGCCTGCACGACGGCTGGCAGTGCGTCGGCAATGTGTGCCACAGCGCCGCGCGCCCTCCGTGGGCCAGCTGCTTGCCTCAGTCTGGTCCATGGGCCCCGGAAGCGGTGGTCGAACAGGACACGAGGGATGAAAGGCCTTGGTGGAGGGGTGGCCGAATTAGATATATATATATATATATACACACATATGTACGTGTATGTATAATTATACGTAGCGAGAGAGAGAGAGAGAGAGAGAGAGAGAGATAGAGAGAGATAAAGAGATAGAGAGAAAGAGAGAGAGAGAGAGAGACATGCCGAGATGCGGCCAGCCCCGGCATTGCTGCCAGGGGGAAGGCTCCGAGCTCCAAGGAAGCGAGCGAAAGCAGCCTCGGCCACCTGTCTCTCAAGTGCGCTCGCGCTCCAGCTCGTGCATCGAAGGTCTCCAAAATCGTGACCTCGATTCGGAGTCGTTGCGGAGTCGAGAGGGGGGGGCCGGAGGACGATGATGCTGACGCCAGGAAGGAGGAGGCCGACTCTGACGAGCAGGAGGATGAGGAGGAGGCCTTCACCCCATGCGTGTGGCGGCGGCGGACGTCGGTAGAGTGATCGCGCTGTGCCCCAGCCCTGGCTGACCATACCCATAACGCATCTGCCCACAGTCGGGCAGGGCGCTCAGGAAGAACTTCCGCCCCGCAGGGCCCAGTCGAGAAACCGGGCTCAGCACGCGCAGGCGGGGCTTGGCCCGTGCCCTGTTCTGGCGTGGCCAGGGCCCTTTTGACGGATCCTTGGTCCTCTGGTCACGGGCAGGGTGCGCCGTCGGCTTCGCCCCTGCCGAAAAGCAGAACACTGGACGAGCATGGTCTCTCGGAGGTCTGCGCAGATGTTCTGCGGGTCCAGGAGCCCCGCGCGGACCCCGGCAAGTTTACATGTCTCTGCTGCTTTTGTGTCTCTATTCTTGGCGACGTCGGCGTTCGCCTCGGGTCTCCTCGAGCCTCCCCGAATCCGATCTCAGCATTCCCCGAGCTGCGGGGATGTGGCATCGTGCGAGCCCCTTGCGTGGGTGAGAGGTATGAGCACCGCTCGCTGGTGAAGAAGGAGGGCAAGAGCGTCGGGGACTTCCTGCTGAAGACGGCCCACGAGTGCATGAGGAGGTGCGACGACACACCGGACTGCCACTCCTTCTCCTTCAGCGCGGAGGCCTGGCTAGACAAGAACAAGGCCCCACCCCGCAGTCGCGCCCCCGACGCGCCGGATTTATCGCCCCGCGAGCTGGCGGCTCCGAGTGATCCGCCTTGTGGGTCAGGCGGGTTTTGGCGTCTCGGCCCCGAATGCGGCCGCCTCTACGTAGGCGTCGGCGGATCCTCGATTGCCGGCCTTTGATTGAGTGGCAGGTGTGGTGCTCCAGGTGATCGGACGCCATCAGTCTGTAGGATGGTTCGGGAGCAGTGCCCGTCGGCTCGAGAGAAGATTCGGGGGTTACCGCCCTGGCCTGCAGATCTGACGATTTCGAGTCGGACCAATGGCCAGCCTGGCGAACTCGGTCATGCCCCGATCCCCGATGTGATGTAGCGTCCCTCTTGCTCGTGTCTGCGAGACCGTCGCAGGGTTCTTGAGGGCTTCTTGCGAAGGCCTTACGGCCGGTGCTGCCGATCCTGAAGGGGGACGACGAAGACGACAACGTCGGCGGCGGCGGCGGCGGCGACGACGACGACGCTGACGTGGGCCACAGTCCTCAGAGCTGCTTTTTGGAGACTCTTCGGAAGGCTTTCGGGGGCCTTTGGGGAGGAATTCTTGACGCTGCGTGTCCCCACCAGCCTCCTCTTCCCGTGCGCTAATTTAGGCCGTTGCCTATGTGCTTCGTACCTTCACGCCGCCCGACCTTCTCGCCGCGGTCGCGATCAAAAAAGTCTCCCCACCAGCCCATCCAGAAACGATGCCAAGGCGAGTTGCCTCTCAGATTCGGATGTCTCTTGTAAGCCTTTCGGAAGCCTCTTGGAGCGTCTTGGGGGCCTCTTAGCGTTCCTGGAGGCCTCTTAGAGCGTCTTGGGTGCCTCGGGGAGCCTCTTGGGTACTCGGGAGGCTCTTGGAATCCTCTTGGGCGCCTCTTGGGACCTCCTCGGCGCCTCTTGCCTTCTTGGAGCCCTCTTGGGGCGCTCTTGGGATCTTTCGAGGCGCTCTTGGGGCCATCTTGGAGGACATCGATCAAATAATGGATGGTCGCAATTCGCGCCCCCCCTCGGGAGCCCCAAGAATCCCCTCCGGGACCCCTCTTGGGGCGCTTTTGGAGAACTCTTGGGCGCTTTTGGGGCCGTCTTGAGGCTCTCTTGGGCCATCTTGGAGCCATCTTGAGGCCTCGGAAGGCTATCGGAAGCGAACGGGAATCTTGGAGGCCTCCTTGGAGGTCTCGGAGGCCTCTTGGAGCCGTCTTGGAGCGTTCTTGGGGCCTCTTGGACCATCTTGGAAGCCATCTTGGGCCATCTTGCGCTATCTTGAGCCATCTTGGAGGTCATCTCGGGCTCTCTGAGGCGCTCTT